GCGGAACAGCTGGTAGTTTCGAACTGCTGACCCTGAGGTTCGCAGCCCGATTCGTAACCACTACGCTACCAGAGCTCCTATTCGGTTTAATGTCTCAGTGCAGGTCGTGGAGTACAGCCATTGTCGGACATGACATATTTTGATTCCTTCACATCCTCCACCCAACTCCTCAAAGCCCAGTTTGGGGATGGTTTGGACATGGATTGCGCTTCCTGGTGTTTTCCTTACCTGCAAGAACATTCCACAGGCAGATGCCCCCAGGGCCGTTGACTGCTCGGTATGGGACCTGGGTCATGTTGAGAATGGCAAACCCCATGCTGACCAGAGCCAGGGCCAAGGCCAGCAAGAGAAGCAGCAGAATCATCACGTGAAGGCCTGTATTCAGCTCCGTCACCAGGTGTGGGAAGACTGCAGAGACAAGAGATTGTCCACATTTTAAAGTGTGAGCTCAGCTTACTTTCATAAAGCCCATCTGTCAGTTTGTCATTCTGTGGTGGCTTGTGTGCCCCTATAAAACTGGAAGCTATGCCACTAGTAACCAGCAGGGTCCTTTTTGGTGGACAGATTTCAGTAGAACTTCCAAATTAGGACAGATTAGGAAGGAAGGTCTGGCAATCTGTGTCTGAAAAGTAGCCAATGGAAGCCCTGTGGGTCACAGAAGAATGTTGTCACATATACGAGGGAGCTTCAGAAAGTTGGTGGGGAACTAGAATGAAAAGGTGATGGAATTTCCCCACTAACCTTCTGAAGCCTCCTTGTAGTGTTGGAAGATGAGGCCATTAGGTTGGAAAGCATCCATTCTGTTACACCAGTCAAAGCCAACTCAATGACAACTGACAACCGCATGTTTATCACAAAGGCTTTCAGAGAGAGGCATGAGGGCAAGATAGCAAGCAATGGGCTTTCAAAAAGCAGAGGGATTCCGACATGAATTCGTGGTCCCAGACTGCTCACTTGCCCCAGACTCTCTCCTCCTTGTTGTTGTTGTTAAGTGTTACTGAGTCACTTTCAACTCATAGCAAACCTGTCTGTATAGGGTTTCCAAGAGTAGCTGGTGGGTTTAAATGTCAACCTTGTGGTTAGCAGTCCAATACTGATCTTATAGTGCCACGCCAGGACTCTCTTCCTTAGATGGGTGCAAAGTCAGAATGTGCCCCTGTTCAAAATTTCTGTTGCAAGGACCTTGTGACTCTGGAATCTTGTGTGAACTGATATGCATGAACCCCAGATTGCAGCTCATTAGCAAAGCATGCTGGTATGAGAGGCCGGTCAGGTCTAGGACAGCTGATCTCAACCATCATATGGCTCAGCCTGACAGTTGCCCTTGGCAATGAGAGGCAGGAGGGGCTTGGGGACTATCCGTGAAGAGTATAGCAAGATGTAGCAGAGCATCAAAGATCTAGTCTTTCATCCCAGCTCACTTGACAAAACCTTCCTTCCTCCCATCCATCTTACAGGACTGTTGCATGGATCAAATGAAGTACATTGTTGTTGTTAGGTGCCGCCATGTTGGTTCCAACTCATAATGACACAGTGTACAACAGAATGAAGAACTGCCCGGTTCTGCACCATCCTCACAACTATTGTTATGGTTGAGCCCATGGTGTCAATCCATCTCCTTGGAGGTCACCTTCTTTTTACTGACCCTCCATGATTCCTTTCTCCAGGGACAGATTCCTCCTGACAACATGTCCAAAGAATGAGAAACGAGATCTCACCATCCTGGCTTCTAAGGAACATTCTGGCTGTACTTCTAAGACAGATGTATTTGTTCTTCTAGCAGTCCATGGTACTTTCAGTATTCTTCACCAATATTCTTCTGTGATCATCCTTATTCACTGTTCAATGTTCACATGCATGAGATGATTGAAAATACCTTGGTTTGGATCAGGTGCATCTTAGTCCTCAAAGTGTTATCTTTGCTCTTGAACACTTTAAATAGAGAGTTTTTACATCAGATTTGCCTAATGCAATATGTCGTTTCATCTTTTTTTAATTTTTAAGGACTTTTTATTGTGAATTAAAGTTTACAGGACAGATTATCAGATTTACATTCCATAAATCATATTTTCTTCATTGCAATGATTACAATCCCCTCCACGTACAGTCAACAGTATTTATCTTTATCCCCTCCCCCACTTTTTAAAGGTTTTTATTGTGGATTGATGAAAGTTTCCAGGGCAGATCATCAGTTTTACATT